CCCCAAAACCCCAAAACCCCAAAACCCCATCATAAGTTAATTTGTAAAAAAGTCGTGAAAATTATTTAGTAAATAATTATCGGAGTACAGAATAAAAGAAAATAAAATAATAGTTCGTATTTTTAAGTGAATCGCAGAGAATTATAAAGAAATGTCTAAAAAGTATAGTGTATAGAAATCCAAATAAATCCAAGATCTAAAGAAAAACTATATTGACGCAGTTGAGAAGTTTTATCTTGGGAAAAAGGTTTCAACAACATAGTAACCGCCTCTTGGAAATAGTATTGATTGTAGTACAGGAAGCCCCTTTAATTTAATGAGTATTTTAAAGAGCTGAAAATATTAACAGCAGAAGCTCGAAAATCGGACTGAGACATCCGATAAGAAATATTCTGAAAAGCAAAGTCTTATTAAACTAAAAAGAACTAGGAATATAAAGTAAATTAATTTCCAATCTTAGATGTTTAGACCACCACTTGGAAAGACCATGTCGAATTTTAATAATTCATAAGGAAATGGTAAGATGTATAATCAAACAGTCTAAGAAAGCGATCAGAGTAGCTATGTAGCTAAATAGACTAAATCAAGAGGTACATATTTTCTTTATCCTACATCATGGTTGAGTAGATTTATTATTCCGAACGAATTCTAAAGAGAAGATACGTAGGAGTTTGGTGAGGAATCATACATCTTAAAATAATTCCCCAATGAATGGCTCACTTGATTCATCACAAGGGTCACTTGCTCTCAGATTGTAATAAACCCGCCTCATGGCGCAGACTTTCTTCAATTAAAGACTGATCTAATCTTCATTAGATAGATGGGATCGTAGCGATTAACTCATAGATGACATAGATAATAGTAGAGAAACATAAGTCTAAAGTTTTAATGGAAGCCTAAAAGGACTAATCTTACTTAATAAAACATAACATAAGATAGAAGATGGTCTAGAAAATACGAATAACTCCACAAATATAAAGAATAGCTCCCTTCGGCTAAAATTGTCTGTAAAAGAAAGACTGTAAAGCTCTAAATAGAATAACTTCATCATTGCTTTATCCTAATCGAATATTGATGAAAGTTTTAGTTAAAAAGTTACTCCTAAAAGAGAGCCATCGTTTATAGAAGATAAAGTTGAAATATTTAAAATAGAAACTTCCAGGTAGATATCCTAAAGAATAACTAGTGAATTAATTAATATTTCTAAGGTATAATCAGTTAGATAAGATGATGAAAAGCTATAGGAAATTAAAGAATAAGATTCCTCTTAGAAATCTCTGCTCTAAACAAGGAAAAAAAGCTAGTTATAAGAATATCATCAACAGATGAATCTTTTCAAGAAATCAACTTTGACCGAATTTCATGATACTGAATTTCCTGATGTATCAGATATGTAAATATAAGGTCAAAAGCAAACTAAATCTGAAGAACTAAAATTGAATTAATCTTTGGACAATCACTCTAAGAAGAACTCGGAAACAAATTTGTAAGAGGATAATTCAAGACTAAGTGCATCCAAGATACTATCTCATACCCAGGACTTAAGGAGTTAGCCTAAAAATCCCTCCCAAAAATCATAGACTAAACATGAGCAGCAATTAGACTTTCTGAATGTGTTCAAACAATATGGTAAATTAATCGATAAGAAACTAATTAGACACAAAAAGCTTAAAAAGACTAACCGTAAAATGGAAGCAACTTTAAACTTAATGAATAAACACTCAGTTTAGGAGGAAAAAAATGTGCAGTAAAAAAAATCTAAATAAAATTTCCTTGATTAATTTTAATGGCTAAACTAGCACTAAAATTTTCTGTAAAGAAGATAGAGCTCCCTAAATCAAGATAAAAAGAAACAAAAGCTTAACACTGAATAGTTGAACAATCCGATAAAATTTTTGAAGCCAGTACCGTATTAGTTTAATCTTGCAGAGAAACTTGTTAATAATGGCCGTCCGCTTAGTCAAAGGTCGCATACAGTATCTAATATTGCCTAGATGCCACAAAAAGAGATCATTATTGATGATTTCAAATTTAGATTGGAAGATGTTGTAAAACTTATGAAAAGAAATTTTTCAGATGACCTTCTCTAGAATAAAAAAGAAAGGACACCAATAAAGACTCCAAATTATGCTAAACGGAAGAATTCTGAAAGCGGATAGCTAGCACAGAAATCTAACCGAGCAAATAAAATAATTCAATAAAGCAATGTAAATAGCAACAATAACAATCGAAGGTATTCTAAACTAGAGACTATGACCCCTAATAAATTAATGGTCTAATAAGAGATATAAACTAATGAAGCGCCAAAATTTCTTAGATCTAAAACCTAGAATAAATAGGATATGATGTTTGGCAAGTCTGTTCGCCCAATACAGGAGACATTAAATTAAATTTATCAGGAAGAGTAAAGTTTAAGAGTTAGTAGGGTAATTAAAAAATAAGATTTATAATCTAATAATGAGTCTTCAATCGATTAGGAGAGTATTAATCTCAAGCCACCGAGTTAAAATAATCGCTCAAGGATAACAGAACACACTTTTGACTCAGTAAGTGATGAAACTGATAGTTCTTACTCCGATGAGAGTGACAATAGCTTTTCTATATATACTCCAAGGATTATGAGCTCCTACGAACTGGATAAATTTGAGGAGTAATTTCATAACAAAATAATCATCTAGACATCTAAAATAGCCAACTTTATGTCAGATACTAGTTAATAGCCAAGGATGAAAATAGGTATTTAGACAAAAAGCTATTCTTTGAATGTAAGTCAGACTAGTGCTACTATGGGGATATCAACAGCATCTAATTCATATTACACCCCAACAAAAGCAATGATTAATCTTAGTAATATGGATGAAAGTTTTAAAATGGTAATGCTAGAATCTGAAAATTAAGAAAATCAAGATGAACAACTTTTCTATCATGAAACTAGAACAAAGAAATATTACTTGTTAATGAGGGATACTCCTGGTAATATTTTATTACCAGTTATCACGAATCCATTTAACATCGGAAATGATAAATCTGAAAGAAGAGTCTCTTATAAAGGTAAAAGATAAGTAAAGATCAAGTCAGATAATATCATTTTGGAAAGACTTTCAAATAAAAGCAGCACTTTAACACGGTTAAACTTCATTAATGATCAGATTCTGAATGAGTTGGAAGTGAGCTATCTCAGTTATATTGAATAGTTAGATTAGGATTTTTTCATAGATGTATTCAGAGATAATGGCTTCAAAGATCAGCATTTTGCTGGAGACTTGCTTTATATAGATATAAACTAAGGTTTAACCACCAAACTCAATTGGAAATTTTTGGAATTTGTGCAAAAAGTTATCTTCAATTCACAAGTGGAACTTTATGCTGATATGACAGTCATTGACGAAATAAGAAAAGAAGATAATAAGTATATCACACCAAACTTTAGCAAGTCTAATTTTTATGAGGTGGGGCATTATCAGTTCAGGGAGAATAGGTGGATGCAGAGAAAATCAATGAAGAGAGAAATAAAAAAAGTACTCATTACTGATGTAAGTTATTCACTTATTACTTTAATCATGATCTAATTACTAATATTTATAGCCTGTCTCAATTTAGAGAAATTTGAAAGATAATATTAATCTAATGATGGCCTTCTAAAATAGGGTAAACAAGAGTAAGATACTTTTTTCCGTTTTATTTTCATTTACAGTATACTAATTCCATTTAAAATTGAAGCCTTTAAAGACAGAGCTAACATTGAAACTAGCACCGATAAAATAGGAACGATCACATAAAAAATTACACGTTGCTATTTGAACATGAACAGTTTATTAAATAGATGTTTTATTTTATCTTGTAAAGTCTTAATTTATAAGTTCAAAAATTTCATTCCTAGTATAACATCTTAATGAACCTTCATGGGGTTTTGGGGTTTTGGGGTTTTGGGG